TTTTTTTTTTTTTTTTTTTTATATATATCTATGTGTTGACTGGAATGTAAAAAAAAAGAATGGAATGGCTCTTGACCACTAAATAAGTTATGTATATTATCTATGCAATAAGATGCAACTCTATATTTATATATATATGTATTACTGTGAAATAAAAATAAAAACATATTAAACAAAGAACGAGCTGGAGCACAAAAAAAGGCAGTTGTGGATACCCAAAACTCCTCAGTGGAGAGAAAGAGATGGAAACTATGGCAGGGAGACCTCACTGCTGGAGTATCAAAGACATATAATGTAGAAGAATGTAATAGGCGGAGCAGGAACAACCAAAACTTCCTGGTGGACAAGGAAAGAGTGGGGACTTATAGGAGGATGTAAGACATATAAAAGCCAGGGCTCACCGAGTCTGTCAGGCTCCACCTATAACAATAATACTGTATCATTTTGGAGCGGACTAAAAGGTGCCCATACACCTTACAAATATCTGGTGATTTTCGTATGCGAACGCGTTTTCATCCGATATTCGTAAGGTTGATGGGCGTGTACAACCTCAAATACTGTACAATCGTACGACTTTTGACCAACCAGCAGGTTAGAAAACTTCGGTCGATCGTATGATTTTCGCAAGGTTGGTGGCATTTCCGTACGTCACAATTTGTACGATTTACACTGCACATGCGCAGATGAAAATACGTGCGGTTGATTACCGCAATTCGTCCAGGTGCTTTCTTCCAATTATCGCTGATCCAACCTTGCGATAAATCGGGACAGGATGGGGCCGCCGTACGAAAATCATCGGACAGTCCGATCATCGGACGGCTCGCAAGGTGTATGGGCAGTCTTACCCTTTAAGCCAATTGTCCATGATACTGTCCTGGAAAGCCCTAGCAGTCTACAATGCCAGTTTCACTGAACCAGGACTATAAAATACCTTTAGCCATCCTAGATACCACCATTAGATTCATGTAAAAATATTGATATGAAAAGTACTAAGAATAGGAGGTGATCCGAAATTTTCATGGTGAATATCTGAGAAGCATTTCAAATAAGGGACACATATTTCCAGGAACAAAACCCGAGAACCTGGGACGGTCCCTGGGAACCAGCACCAGCTAACACCAAGATCGGAACATCTCCCACCATGAACAAAATATATTGTTAGGGCTTGTTCACACCAGAACCACATGCATCTGCACAGCTGCAGTGCGATGCGTTTTGCTGCAATTTTACCACCATTCATGCGTTTTTATTTGTTTTTTCATGCTTAAAATGGGATTTCAGGTGCGTTCCAGTGCGTTTGCATGCACTTTTGATGTATTCCGTCGTGATCCAATGCAGCTAAAATAGGGCAAGCAGTATTTTTTTCTGGCTGCATCAGAACGGACTGCAGTGATGTGAACAGAGCACAATACCATAGGAAAGCATTGTGATGCAGCTGCAAACCGGAAGGGACCGCATTTGGTGTGAACTAGCCCTTACACACACAGGTTCAACTAGGACACGTGCAAAGCTTAACCAGTTGACATCCGCGGTGTTAAACCCCCTTCCCATCCAGGCCATTTTTCAGTATTCAGCGCTGCGGTACTTACTGTTCACATGATATCAGGTCCTGTGCCTGTTCACATGATATCAGGTCCTGATCAGGTGCAGATCTGCAGACTGATGCAGTGCGTTTTTGCCACGTTTTTGATGCGTTCAAGTTTAAAAAAATATATTTTATTTTTTTTGCTGGAGTGGGGCTGTTAGTATGTTAGCTGCAGTGCAGTGCGTTTTTGATGTGTTTTGATGCGTTATAAACGCGTTTGGGTTTCCTGACCGTTTACGGACTGGACAAAATGTGACATGCAGTATTTTTTCTGTCGTAAGCTGAACGGACTGCGCACGTGAGAACTGGAGCCCATAAAACACATAGGGATACATTGGGATGCATTTTGAGTGCAGCAGCGTACGGAGCCGGTCAGCACACAAAACGGAATCGTGGGAACAGGCCCTTAGCCCAAGGATAAGGATCTTTATTTCAGCCATGTGACCACAATTATCAAATCTCATTGGACTCAGCTGAAAATAATTGTTACATTTTTGAAAATAAGTATCCTGATGCATTCGCTTTGTGATTCCTTCGTCCATGGAGTGCACACCAAAAGAAAAGTACCGAGCCCGACGAAGGGATCGAAGGAATCCCAAAGCTTGCATCGATTATGACTCAAGTTAGTCAATAAAGGGCATCACTTCAACTCCAAACTTTCTCAACCAAAAGACCAGAGATCAATGAAAACCTTGCACCCTCAAAACCCTCAAACCGGCATTGCTCCTGATCTTTATTTTAACACGACAAGCTACGAACAATAAAAAGCCATCCTTGTGACTGCTCCATCACACGGTTGCTCTTTGCACTGCCTGGTTGTATAAGCCTGAGCATTTGTTTTACTCCTCTCGTACTTACTATTTCCAGGCAGATGAAGGCTCCGGTGTAGGTCCTAAGAACTTCTATGCCAGTGGGCAAGCTGTGGGTGGTAGCAGGGTAGGAGACGGCAGCAGGGCTCGGCACTGGAGGGAGCCCAGGATCAGCCATGCTTGCTTTGTTTGTGTGACAGTCTGAGTGTCAGGCTCTTCCCAGCCTACTGGCAGGCAGTTGTACCTGAGCGTGTCATGTGACCACCTGCCAGGTACAGCCCAGCCCTGCCCTGAGAGCCTTTGTGTTGCACTGGGATTCCTGTATGGGGAGAGGAGGGCAGGGCGGCACAGGTGACACAATACAAAAGAAAGTCTGAGAAACCATGTGAAAGAATCAGGGTGGAGGACGGCATCAGGGAGTAGTTCCTAAAGCAGATCTGTTCTAAACTCTACCTGGATGATGTTTCTCAACCTTTTTTCAGTCGCGGCACCGTTTAAAAGTATGCAAAATCCTGACGCACCTCAGTCTAAAATGTCATAGATTTTACGGGAATCTCCATGCAAGGATAAAATAGAAAACCAGCTGCACTCCTTACAGGAACAATGGAAGCCCTGCAACAGCAGGTGGGTGCTTGTAGCGACCACGGACGGCACCGTGTATAGTACAAGAGTGTAAAGGAAATGTCACCAGCACACCAAAAGTATTTCAGCAAAAGTCAGTTTATTGACACATTGCCATTCAGTACAAGCACTTTTTGGGGCCTCAAGGGTACCCCTTCATCAGGCTTTCTGTGCTGGTGACATTTACTTTACACTCTCCATGCAAGAACGCCCAAAACAGTGGGTCCCCCCTTCACATCAATGTGCTCTGTTCAAATGAAGATTTCCCCCATTCACATCAGAGTCACCCTTTGCATCAATAGCCCCCTTTTATATCAGGAGCCCCCCTTTGCATCAATAGCCCCCTTTTATATCAGGAGCCCCCCTTTGCATCAATAGCCCCCTTTTATATCAGGAGCCCCCCTTCATATCAGAGACACCCTTTTTATATCAGGAGCCCACCTTCATATCAAAGACACCCCTTTTACATCAGGAGACCCCCTTCATATCAGAGACACCCCTTTTACATCAGGAGTCCCCCTTCATATCAGAGACACCCCTTTTATATCAGGAGCCCCCCTTCATATCAGAGACACCCCTTTTACATCAGGAGCCCCCCTTCATATCAGAGACACCCCTTTTATATCAGGAGCCCCCCTTCATATCAGAGACACCCCTTTTATATCAGGAGCCCCCCTTCATATCAGAGACACCCCTTTTATATCAGGAGCCCCCCTTCATATCAGAGACACC